ATGGCGGCCAGTATTAATGGTGGAGGAAGAAACCGGGGAAATCACCGGAAAGAACCACCGACCCACGAGAAGCTACTGGCAAGCTCTCTCACATATCCACATTCGCCGAATCTTAGACTCGAACCCACCAGAAAGAGGTGAGATGGCAGTGATCCATAACGGACAGAGCTTTAGACCACTCGGCTATTGGGGCCCCTCAGATATTGTAGATAGTATTTCTTTGAGATTTAAAGGCATTCTGCTATCATCAGCTGTCGCATACTAGTTATGATAGTGTGAGAGCAACTCTTGATGAATCCTAAGTTTGCCAAATGATGTTCTGGAAGGCTCAGAGGTTGTTTAAGAAGTGAATACCTCTCAAAGAATTATACATTCCCAGTAGAAAGTTTGATTGAAACCAATATTACATCATAAGACTTTTATTTTCATGAGCAACCTGACCTGAGCTCAGCAATTCCAGATTTATAAGGAAACATATCATTAACTGTTCTAGCTTGCAGCCAGAGAAACTTGGAAAGGAAGGTGGTCTACATGATGCATGCCATGGGGCTAAAGTGATTGGGCATAGAAGCCTTTGACCCAGATAAACAAATCCATTGACCCAGATGAGCAAGTCCATTGACCCAGATGATCAAGTCCATTGACCCAGATAAGCAAGTCCATTGACCCAGATAAGCAAGTCCATTGACCCAGATGAGCAAGTCCATTGACCCAGATGAGCAGGTCCACTCAAAAAGCTTCATAATCCCACTTTTCATGACCAGATGTGCTATTTTCTTCCTGTTGACATTATGTTATACTTGGAATCATGAAACTTGGTAATGGGATGCTTCTAGACAAGTGCTACATCCTTATTACAAAAATTTGTCTCCATGGCTTATATTTCATGCTTCATTTATTTGAGTGCAGTTTATGTTAGAAACATGCATGTTTGTAATTATGCTATACAATGAAAGAAAGGCACTGTGACCTAGAGTTTATGATTTGATATTGTTTATTTGGCTCAGAATCAAGAATGATGTCTGCATGTGTAGCTGAGTTAACTTTTCATGTGAGTGTCTTGAAAACAACTCATTTGATGCTGAAAATGAGAAATGTGTGTACAGGTAATGCAACTGTTAATTCCTGAGGTTGTGAAAGAATCCATTTTTGAAAAAGAACTGGAGTTGTGGAAGAGTCCGTCTTTGACACAGGACTGAGAGGTTATGGTTGCTGTTATATGTCACATACAAACAGACATTATCTTCATGTGAGAAAAATTGTGTCATAAACATTAAGTAGAAATTTTAAATAGCTTCATGAAAGTTAGATGGTGTTAATGGTGTTAATGGTGTTGATGATGTTTGCTTACCTCAAGCATACAGCAGGTCCCATAACCAACTTTTTACAGTGCACAAGATGAGGAGTATATTTTCCATAGAGCTTAGTTATTTTTAAATGTAATTTTGGGGCTGATAGGAATTGGTTGGTAATCCACTGCTTTATATCTGATTACAGGACACATTTCTCCTGAAGACACCAGGAGGGGGAGGATATGGAAAATATATGGAAGATGATCTGAAAGAGGAGGATGAAGAGATGGAATGTCCCCTTAAAAAAATGAAAATGGATAATTTGACAGGTGCTCCCACAAAGGTCGGCACTGGCAGTGTCTTCCAATACAGGCGGGCTCAGGAATCTGTCTAAAAAGGACTCGCACATACAATAAATAATAAGATTTATATCCAGATGCACTCAGCTCTGAATGGTACCTGATATAACAAGAATCTCTTGAAGTTTTTTTTATGGCTTGCCTTTACTTACTCCTAAAGAACTTAATCTGCATTCAAAACTTAGATGGTGATCCACACATTCAATAAATGTAACCAATGGATCAGTTGTCCATAAGGATATAATATTATGCATGTTCTAAATGGTCTCACACATCAATGTATTAGTCTGACAATAAGGACAATTTGCAAGCTAAGGCTTAAATCTGCTTTAATTTGGAAATAATAGACTTGATTAAAAGCAATACAGAAATGTGAACAATTTTATTGATATGATGATGTTAGATTTATTTATAGTCAGCATGATTTATAACACAAGTTCAGGATAAGCTTTAAGGTGCTTCATACAAATGTGTCGTAAAAAATAATAAAAACAAAAACAAACATGATTTACAAGACATATTGCAACAGCATTCTCTATAGATACAATTGGACAAAACACACAGCACATAAAAATAAAATTTAAGCAGACAAAGAATTTTAAAAACACCAGTAGTTAAAGTGAATTTAATATTTAGGTAGCTAAAAATTATGGGTTATGAGGATCAGGTTTTTTAAAAAAGTAAGAATAATGAAAAATAGGTTATGTTACTTAAAATTTTAGACTAAAATACAAAAAATTAAATTAAAAACACTACTTTAGGAATGAAAACATGCTGAGATGCAGAATTCAAAATCAAAAGGAGATAACAGTAGGGCACATGATAGTACATAAGGACAGATAAAACAGAGTTGTGGGTCAGGTGATGAGTATTATTTGCATATATTTTATGGTCTTTCCATTCCAAGATAAAATCAATGATCTAAATTAATTCAAATTTGAATGGTTTGTAAAGTGATTAGGTTGTCCATTGCATAGAATGGCAGCGGCATATCTCAAAAACCTTTAGCCATATATTGAGGTTTTAATTCTTAAGAATTAAATATAAAATATTTGAATATCAGAATTATTTTGCCTATAACGTATCCAATCATCAGGACATTTGAGAGCACAATTGTTTGGAATTATAAGTCTCAGGAGACATATCCCTAAGTCTGTGCCCCTACATGGTCACCAATTTTGCCCTAAGTTACAGATTATGATAACTTCATCATACATAATCTCAGAGCACAATTTTGCAATTTTTTTTTTAAGTTTAGTAGTGTTTATGCCACTGAAAAAATGCCAGGCAAAAGGACAGAAGTTGAAATTTGATGGGATAAATGTATGCAAGAATTTTGCTGCAGTAATAAGATGACAAAATTGTTAATCATACTTTTTTAAATTATTATTATATCTAACCAATTTGACTTGAGAAACAAGAAGTATAATGGTTTTCCATCACTGAATTTTATTTCATATGTTTAGGAAGAGATTGGGGTCAGAGTGTGTTCTAATACTTGTATGAATAGGATGTACATTTGTTTGGGGTGGGAGTTTACAGTAAATTTTTGATTTAAATAAAATCAGATGTAATTCAATGAATGCTTGTATCCAGAGTGCAAAAAGTCTTTTTTTTTAAAATAAATTTTAGTGAATGGTATGGTATGTTCTTTGTATCAGCTAATTTTCAAGGGATGATGCCCTTCTAAATAATATGATGGAACACAGGGATGATATAGACCTCATGACCCAAATTTTAAAAATTTCAAAATGAAAAATAATTCAAATTGTCAACATTCATCAGCTCAAATAATTATGTCAAAAGCCATTGTACTTAACTTAACATCTATTGCAATAATCTGGCAATTCTCTCTAATAAACCATTATTGTATTCAGATATTGTATTTCTAACAGACTATAACCATTATTGTATTCAGATATTGTATTTCTAACAGACTGTAACCATTATTGTATTCAGATATTGTATTTCTAACAGACTGTAACCACTATTGTATTCAGATATTGTTGTTGTTGTTGTTGTTGGGCTTAACACCATTTTTCAGCACACGATAAGCTATTCATGGCGGCCAGTATTAAAGGTGGAGGAAGAAACCGGGAAATCACTGGAAAGAACCACCGACCCACGAGAAGCTACTGGCAAGCTTTCTCACATATCAGCATTTGCCGAATCCTAGATTCGAACCCATGCAGACAGAGGTGAGATGGCAGTGATCCGTAATGGACATCGCTTTAGACCACTCGGCCACTTGGGGACCCTCAGATATTGTATTTCTAACAGACTGTAACTCACTCAAAATTACCTTTATGTTAACTATAGATTGGTAAGAATTTACATGAGTGCCATGATTGTCCCTAGCAGAAGTCAGCTACTTGTAGATATCTTTAGAGGAGGAAGAAACCAAGAGAATCCCAGGAAGAATCACCGACCCACTGAAAGATATTGGCAAGCTTTCTCACATGATCATACTTAGCTAATCTGAGACTTGACCCCCCCCTCCAAGGTGTCAGTGATCCATAAAAGTGAGTACCTTAGATCACTTGGCTACCCAGGGTTATCTGGTATGTTTTGTGAACAACTATGCTTATTTTTGGGATTGTTAGGTTTTAAATGAATTACATACATGTATGTAAATTTGTGATTTATGTTATTTTTTGCTTTAAAATTGTATATATCAGCAGTAGAGTGTGATGTCATTTGGTTGCAAATTACCATATGTAACTGGTGCTTAGAACTCTGATATAATTGACTAGAAAAAGGTGATGTTACTCATTGTGATTTCACAGATTTATTATTAGATATATGTTTCACTGCTGGATATGTTTAGAATGGTAAATATGTAATGAATATCTATCAAATGTGGGTGTGCATCATAGTTTTAATGTTACCCATATGATCCTATCTGGCAAAGGTATGAATCTATTCTGTCAAATGTATGATGGTATTTTGTCAAATGTATGAATGTATTCTGTCAAATGTATAAATGCATTCTGTCAAATGTATGAATGCATTCTGTCAAATGTATAAATGCATTCTGTCAAATGTATGAATGCATTCTGTCAAATGTATAAATGCATTCTGTCAAATGTATGAATGCATTCTGTCAAATGTATGATGGTATTTTGTCAAATGTATGAATGTATTCTGTCAAATGTATAAATGCATTCTGTCAAATGTATGAATGCATTCTGTCAAATGTATAAATGCATTCTGTCAAATGTATGAATGCATTCTGTCAAATGTATAAATGCATTCTGTCAAATGTATGAATGCATTCTGTCAAATGTATAAATGCATTATGTCAAATGTATGATCGTATTCTGTCAAATTGCTCATATAGGTTGAAACCAGTTTGGTAGCCTAAGTGGTTTGAACATCTGCCTCTGATGCAGGAAGTCATGAGTTCAAATCCCACCCATATCATCCCAAAGACTTACAAAAATGGTGTTCCATTAGTGTGTGTGTGTGTATATATATATATATATATATATATATATATATATATATATATATATATATATATATATAATCAGTAATCATTAAAACAGATCTTTGCTATTCTATGTGAAATGCTATATATGCTAGCCAGTTTAAGGTTTCTTTTCTATTTGAAATATTTCATACCTGTTTTTATATAGGAATATTTCTTTTATTCTTCTGTGAAAATACATTGAATAAATTATTTTGCCAAAGAGTGTTATTCTTATGAACTATTTTTTTTTTAAAAGTGGCAGGGATTTTGAGTAATGCTTTTGTCTATCCATACATCCATCCATCATCTGGCACACCTCACTATATGTTGATGACTTTATAATATGTTACCAATCGAAGCACATGCATACAATTGTAAGACAATTACAGCAAAATATAAACAAAATTCAAAATTGGGCCAATACTAATGGCTTCAAATTTTCAAAATCAAAAACTGTCTGTATGCATTTCTGTCAGTTACAAAGACATCACGATGGATCTAAACTCACGCTGGAAGGATCACCTATTCCAGTTTTTGAGGAAACAAAATTTTTAGGCATTATCTTTGATAGAAAACTGACTTTTATTCCACATCTGAAACATTTGAAAGCCAAATGTTTGAAATCTCTTAATTTAGGTGGCGCTCACCAGTTATTATGTACTTTTGAGAGAGTAATGTATGTAAGGTGAAGTTGTTTGCATTTTAAACATGCACAGTGGAGAGAATGTTGGCATACCTATATACTACTTTCATGTAATGTGGATGAAATTTCTTTGGTTATTGTACTTTTGGAAATTTTAAATGATCTTAGGACACTGCTAACTAAAATGACTGCTCCCTTGTGCTCCAAAAATCAACCTCAATTTGTCTAAAGTACACTATTCTTGGCAGCTATTAAAATATGGAAAATGAATTTTGCCAAACTAGATAATACCAGCTTCTAAAAGAGCAATGACTGAATTACCAAATACATAAAATGTAAAAAAAGTTATCAGCTCTTTTTTTTACAATTTACCTCTGAAGTTCGAGAAGTGAAAATGAGCAAGTAGAGCTAGCACTTTTTTGAAAGGTACACATCTGGAGTAAGGCCAAGCTGTATAGTCTCTAACCCATATTACACCCATCAATCATACATCAAAATAAAGAGAATTAAAGGTTCTTTGAACAATACCTAAGATATACAAAATCTCTTTTTAATAACCAGTATAACTAGTGAGGAAACCCGGGGAAACTCTTTTTTCTTTAAAATTTTAACCCTATGCTAAATACGAAACTGTAGAGCGCCACCTTACTTAAAGAAATAGCGCACACTGACTGGAGTGCTGATAGGAGAGTCATACTCAGTTTATACAGAACGTTTATCCATTCCAAATTAGTCTATGGTTGCGTTGTCTATGGTTCAGCAAGGAAATCCTATTTGAAGATGCTTGACCCAATTCATCATCAGGGAATAAGACTTGCCCTGGAAGCATTTAAAACATCCCCGTGTGAAAGCCTACTCGTTGAAGCAGATGAACCACCCTTATCACATCATAGAGAAATGCTTTGCGCACAATATGTTACCAAATTAAGATCCAGCCCTCTGAACACAGCTTTTTCGGCAGTTTTTGAACCAAAATATAAAATCTTATATGACAATAAACCAAATGTCATACCAACATTTGGCATTAGAATATCACAATTTCTCGAAAGTACCCAAATTGATCTTTCAAAAATTCTGAAAGCCAACATCTCTGAAACACCCCCATGGCTACTTCAGCAACCAAGAATTTTTTTCACGTTACATGATGGAAAAAAAATCAGAGACAAACCCTTCCATTTTCCACAACTTTTACCATGAACTCCTCTTACAATTTGAAAATTATACAAAAATATATACCGATGGATCAAAAGATGAGGAAAAGGTTGCTGCAGCCTTCTTAAGTGGAAAGCACACAACCAAAGTTCGCTTGCCAAATTACCAATTATTTATTAATTACCAATCATATGTTTTCGTTATCATACATTTGCACTCCCGTTGATCGGGAAACCTTTAATTATTTACCATGATTACCATTTTTATCGCTTTACCTTCAACTGATTGGTCTCCAACCGCTGGTCGATAAAATTGTTTTTACCAATTTTAAATAAAAAAGGATATAAACTTATGTTTGCCTCTCAATAGCCTCATAGTGCTGGTGTGCCGTAAAAATATCAATCAATCATCTAGCACACAATCTTGACAGTACAAACTGTCCTGAATTTTTTTTCATGGATTACCATAAAATTTGATAATAATTATGACCTTCATCTGAACAGTTGCATGCAAATTACCTTCTTTCCACTATATATATATATATATATATATATATATATATATATATATATATATATATATATATATATATATATATATATATATATGAGTTATTGCCCTTTTTGTATTGTAGCTTAATGCAGTGTATGACATTCATGTTATCACAATTAGTCCTGCAGTTTTCAATAGATGTCCATAAAAATTGGTTAATATTATGATTATAACTTCAATGACTCGGCTAGTTTCAACATTTTGAATGGATTGTTCTGAAATTTAATAATATTACAGTTGCCATCTGAAGATGTGACTAAAAGAAATTGTTCAGCAGGTTTTTGTGATTGTCCTTTTTATTGTAGCTTAATGCAATCAGTGACACAATCTTGTTAGAATAACTATTCCTGCAGCTTTGATAAATTGCTGTGTTGTTTTATTAATTAAATTATTAATACTGTAAATAATTAATATAGTAAACATATGGAAGAAATAACAGCACAGGCATACACATTACAGTATTGTAAATATATGAGAGAACTAACTGGATAGATGTACATGATACAGTTGATTTGCAGGAATAAAACAATATGACATTGTATATTGTCAAAACCAACAACTTTAAGATTAGAAGTACACTTAATAAATTTGTTTAATATACTCAATACTGTATTTCTTTACATCTGTTTATTTCTTTGCCTAAGCTGAGTATGTTTGTAAAACTAAACATTTTCTATGGAACTACAGAAAGTTGGAATACACTTTCATATTAACAAGAGTCTAGATGTATATTAATTGATAACAAACTCAAATTTATAACCTTATATTACTATATTTTTAGTAACGCGTAAACCAGATAAGATAATTATCATACCACAATTATCACTCAGTAATGATGCAGATCTGAGTATTATTGTGTTGCAGTAGTAGGGAAAAAAATGTATGAATGTGTCCTACTGCTCAATACAGAATGTGCAATGGAATGTTGCTAATATTTCTATTGAAAAAAAAAATCTTCAAATTGTATCAGCTGTTTGATGAATGATCATGAATAAATTATTCTGATTTTTTTAAAAGTTAATTCTGTATATTTATTTATAAATATGTTATTAATAGGTTTTAAGTCTTTTCTGTTTTCTTTTTATTTCATAAAATTTGATGAATGGGGCTTTCAGTTTTTGTTTATATTTTATATTGTTCCAGTGATGATAAGTTTGAAAGCTGGATTTTCCCTTTCAGTGCTGGTACATTTCTAATCATTTCTAATTTTCAAATTAGGTAGTGATGAATGTTGTTTGTTGTTGTTTTGGGTTTAATACCATTTTTAAGTATACAATCAGTTATATATATATATATATATATATATATATATATATATATATATATATATATATATATATATATATATATATATATACATATATACATACATACATACATACATACATACATACATACATACATACATACCTAGTTGCCAGTATAACTGGTGGAGGAAGAACCATAGAAAACCCTGGTAAGAATTGCCAATGCTTGGGAAGCTACTGGCAAGCTTTTTCATGTACCAACATTAGCCAAGTCAGAGACTGGAACCCATGTGTACAGAAGTGAGAGGGTCAGTGATCAGCAAAGGTGTGTGCTTTAGACCACTTGACCACCTGTTGCCCCAGACAAGAGCATATCAAAATGTATAAATCCAACACTAATTTCGTTGTTTCTGCTCTGCATTTTTGATGTTGTATAGTCAACATACATGGTGTCATGACAAAAATGGAAACAAACATTTTTAAACAAAGATTTGATCATCTATTTCACCTAGAACTGTTAAAAAAATATTGTGCTGACAAACGTTCAATGTCGAAAATATCAACTTCCCACAATTATGTCCTCTACTTGCCTCCATCTCAGTGTCAAACAAAACCTGCCTTTAGTATGTTTAGTCAAGACATGTGTTAGAGTAACTGTCTGCCTCCCTCTATTTTCGGTGTAACATGTATCTTGTTCTAGTATATATATGTGTTATATCCGCTTTTGGCATCAGGGGGTTCTATTACTCTTAAAATTCAGTGACTGCAGACAGGGGATACTTCAATATAATAATTATAACTTGCGGAAGGTAAAGTTTTAATTTTTTTTTTTTTGCAAATAGAAAAAGCAAAATAATTTATTTGATTTCATGAAAGGGGTCATTGAAGAAAAATAACTGAGCACCTTCTTCATAGGCAGGTATGTAGCTCAGTGCAGACCCACATACACCTCCACATTCTGATCATCTCTGTCAGTATCTGGTTTTCGGTAATAATATGAGTTTGGTCACTGTGTCAGTGTTCAAGCTTGCTAAAAGACCCATAGTGATTTGTGAACAATGTACTTTCACTGCCTGATTTTATCCCATGGATAGAAATATTTTTTTAAAAAAATGATAATATAAGAGTTGTTTGGAGATATGAAAATTACAAAGCATATAGGATCATATAATTGTTTTAAGATCAAACTGTGTACTAAAAAACATTCCAGGAAGAAATCAGCACAAAGTTCACTTGTTTGTCAGATAAAGTGATGAAAATTCTGAAAGTAATAATGGGCAGATTTATGGTGACTTTTACAGCAAAAAAGAACAAATTAAAGTACTTACCAGAAGCAACAATTCAGAACTTTTAATTC